TGGCTATCTTCAGCCAGGGTAGTGGTAGAGTCACCAAACCTGGAGTCTTATGGGGCGCTCACACCAAGCCCGAGTAAAATCATCTACTCGCTTAATTCGCGCGAATCTAGACGTGTAAATGAGTAGTATTTACTCGCTTCATTCACGCGTCAACGGTAATTTCAACAGTAATCCCTGCCAATTCAACTGACAGGATCAAGTGATAGACAAAGATCTTTTACAATTTACCAGGTAATCCGACCTCCTAACTCACTTGCCTCTAGGTGAGCTCCTGTTTAGGTAATTAAAAGAAAAGGTATCATATAATTTGGGGCACTCACACACCGACGTGATCAGTTTCATATGTCACCTGGCAACCTTCGTGCTGATTAGTTATCACGACACGAATATCCGCTCAAGTTGAGACATTTTCAGCTCCTGCCCAATTAGTGTCATTCGCGTTGCAAGAGTAGTAGGAGCGTCCAGTCGCGTCTTTGCATTGACTTAACATGTAATTCATTCGTGCAAATGATTTTACTCGCGCTTGGTGTGTGGAGACAGTAGACGAGTCCAAGTCGTCAAGAGAAACATCCATATGGAGTCCCTGTTTTAGCATCAATCTGCAAATATTCCCCAGCTGGCTGTTTTTGCCATCTTTTACACCCAGCAAACTATTTCAAAGACTAAATGTTTAATTCTGGTTCAATTTAAGCCATGTTTTCACAAGTTGAGCATAGTTAGTTCAGGCAGGCCTCAAAGTTAAGTTCAGTCCACATATACTGTACATCAGCTGACTACCTTCAGAAGAGTTGTTCTGTTGAAGGGGCTCCATCCTGCCCTCTTTTGAAAGGCCCTTCATTTTTGAGCTGTGCATGATTGACAGAATCCTAACTGATGCCTGCTCCTGCTCACACACATGACAAGTGTGACATGACAAGGGAGGCATGCTCTCCTTGCTGCAGGTTTTGGCACACTATATCTGCATGTGGAAGGGCAGGGAGCCCTCAGAGTAGAGCCCCACTGCCACTACAAGTACTACTGCATACTGAGAATTGACAGAGGTGGTCCTGACTGAACTTTTACCCTCTGCCATCATTTACGGTGACCATACGTCCTCTTTTATCTGGACATGTCCTCTTTTGGGGGGCTGTCCAGCCTTGTCCAGCCTGCCTAGGGGAAGTTTATTAAATCCTTCAAACGTCCAGGGTTTTTTGAGTTTGTGTAGTGTTGACTAACTGAGTTAGAAGCACTCAAGAAACACTTGACCCAACATGAAAATCCCTCAAAATTTTGCACGTGACTCTGCCCCACATTGTAGTGTCCTCTTTTTGGGGATTCAGAATATGGTCACCCTATTACTACTATTATGACCAAACAAACTTCTACAAGTCATTTGTGTACGAGTTTAAGCTAGCTATTTAAACCTGTAACTTGTAGCCAGTTGTAAGGATGCCTAGCCCAGGTTCACACTTGAAAGAATGGAAGGTCCACACGAATGGTCAGTTTGACAAGCTTTACTGGTTGCAGATCTGGGTTGCAGCTTCAGCATGCCACAAGTGTAACAAAGAGTTAGCCTGGCTGGGCCATCCTGTTGCGTCAGTCACTTGACGTTCCTTCCCACAACAGTCTGGACTTCGGCCCATTGGAAGCCCTGAAAGTGGGCGGGAGTACTTTCCTTGATAGACAGACTACTGTAACCAATCACCGTAACCAAGCATCTGACATCATCACAGATGCTTGGTTACGGTGATTGGTTACAGTAGTACATGGACCAATCAGGGGCTGCCTTTCCCTGTTGTCCGGGTAACAGTGAAAACACGGTCTCTTATTGGCCCGGTTATTTTCTGATCGGGCATACACGCTCTCTATGGGCCGAAGTCCAGACTGTGGTGGGAAGGAACATCAAGTGATTCACGCAACAGGATGGCACAGCCAGGCTAACAAAGAGTGGTCTAAGCGGTTCACAACCCTAAACATACTGTTGGTATTTAGTTGACCCTAAGAGAAATCCATGTACAGTAAAAACAAAGGACAACATATTTTAAAAAGCCTTAGGTGAACACGTGGAAAGTCCCAAGAAGGAAATATCATGGCAAACATATTTTGGGGACCTACATGATGTAAATAATGTGTACAAGGTTCCTTGGTCAGGGATGGTTGTCGGAGGCCCCCCTGCTCCAGCAATCTAACACCAAAGTGTCTGGGGTATTTGAGTGACACAGCTGCAACACTCTAGAGGCTAATATGACTGGCTGAAGAAACTCATCCTAACACCAGTTGACTATGTTAGCCTCTCCGTTCACTGGAATACTTTAATACTGCACTGATTTATTTGTTAGTTGTACTCATACATGGACTCATAGTTCAATGCAATAGCACTGTTCAATTTTCCAAGTTGCTGAACACCTGTACTCTCTGTTTACACACTTCTGGCAGCAGTGATATTCCTCCAATGTAAAACACTCACAGTTTCACACTGTAGCTGCTGCTGCTACTGCTGCTGTCCTGTCTCTACACCAATCCTCGCAAATGAGGTTCTGCAGAGAAAAAGGGGAGGTGTTGCTGTACATGAAACCTATCATATATCCAGGGCTCTAATTACTTCCACACGCCTCCCTTGTGTCTTAGATGGATTCTTGGGAGTCAGAAGTGGAGGATCAGCACTTTCCATCCCTCCTACCCACTCTATGTTCTTTTTCTCCTTTGTCACAGCAGGGCTGGTGTTATTAACCTTCTGTCTGCTCATGCAAATAGGACGCTACAGTCTTTTCTCTCCTGCTGGAAGCTCGTTTTAGACAGTTGAGCCGCCTTTTGAAATTTCCATGTCTTGTTTCCTCTTATAGAAATCCTGCAGTGTGCAACTGGGATCCAGCTCGGGAGGAAAGACAAATAGTGGAGGGAAAGGAGAGAAGAGGCTGATTGAGCGGCCGGTGCAGGTCAATTATTGTTACAATTCTCTTGAGGTAAAAAATAGAAACTGAGGGAGAAATGCCAAGAAGGAAGGGAGAGCTAAGGCGGTAAGAGTGCAGAACGATAAAGTAGACTTCAGGATTGACTCTGAGTTCATGCGTTGCTTTGTTTGCACTTATGCTTGTGTATTTGCATGTTTTACCAAATATGTATCGCTGCACAACACGAGTGAGTCAGGGGTGCACTTAGCTTTCATAGCTAGAGACCTTCAGTCCTACAACTAGTCCCCCATCCTCTTATTGTGCCGCTCTCTAAGCATCCTCGTTATGACCGCTAAGCACCACTCAAGGTTCTTATTGTCCCTCTCATCAGCACAGTGCAACGATTGGGCAGCGACAACCGATACGAAAGCCAGGCAGGGACAGCAATAATCATCAGATGTGTATCAAGCGTGAACTGACATCTTTACACAGGGCCCTCATGTCTGATAAACGGACAGCTCGTGGCTAAAGGACTCGCTAACATTCTCATTAGCTCACCCTCCTCCTCCTCTCCTCCAGCACAACAAACAGCTCATACCCCGCCCCGGCTATGACCAATGATGAGGGCTTGTGGTGTTGCACATAAAAGCCTTATTCATGCTCTGCTCTACGAGGGTACATAAAAATGACAGCTGCGCTTTAAGGTGTAAGTGTGTAGTTTAACAGCAAACACAATGAGATACACAGTTGTTAAAGGCTTCTAATTTGGGATGTTACGAGGATGGAAATTGTGCCTGCAGATCCTGACCAAATGTCATTGCCTTTTTATATACCTGCCATTTATTATGCTATCTTGGCATGATTTCTTTTATGTTTATTTCCTTTCATTGGAAAAGTACATTTGACTTTTAGTACAATTACAGTGAGATCGTTTGTCTCTGGCTCAGAAACAAGGCGTAAAAAATACTTTTTTATTTTTATTACTTTGTTAATTATAACTAAAACATGAATGAATCTAGGACTAAATTTCTATCTACGGAGGATATATATTTTCTTTACACGCCCCAGCCATGTGTTATGTGCTATGTGTTTTGTGCATTTGCAACATAAACTGTGAACATAAAGCTGCTTTATTCAGTGTTTTTACACATTTTTATCACTAAGTTTTTTTTGTCTTTGAGAAGGAGAGACCATCACAGTTAATTCACATTTAAAAAGAGCAATGCTAACCTAAAAGCAAGCAAAGCTCAAAACATGCTCTGTCAGAAAAACTCTAACATTTTATCGCCCTTGTATTTTTCATAGTCTTGGACAGAGATAGAAGTAAAACAGAGCACAGCGTTTGTTTGTTAGCGTGTGTTTACTGTTAGCCCCTTCTGTCTGCTCGTTCAAGCCACCTACAAGTGGTAATTAGGGGTCCAGATCATTTGGCTCGGTAAGAACCAGCTCTTTCAGGTCCCAAACTGCTCCTCGCAGAATTGTTCACACTCAAAAGCCAGTATTAGAGCTTTCTCATCTGCATCCGACACATCACTGCATGCAACAGTGCTGCTGCCTGCAGAGAGGCCAAGTAACAGGGAAATCATGAGACAAGAGAAAACTTCTTTGACAGTTGAAAGTTTTGATAATTATTTTAAAATTAAATTTTAATTGAAAAGTTAATTTTTAAAAAGTAACCTTGATAATCTCTGATTGACGAAGCTTACTCTGTCAGCATGCTCACAACAAATCCCCCGTCATCTCTACGTGTGTTTCAGCGATCCACTGTGCAGTTCAGCTGTCATGTGTCAGCAGACATCCTTGAATTTCTTTCATTTTTTGAGACTTGATAAAATGTTTTGGTGCTGTTAACAGAGCTGTTTTGAGAGGAGGAGCAGCACCAGCAATCTAAAAGTTGAAGGACTTCTTTCACACGACAGACAGCCAGAGGTATTCAAACAAACTTTTGACCTCTTTGCGCGTTAAACATCTTTGCAAGCAACCGACCATCGGTATGTGTCTGTGGGAAGTTTAAAACTTTTTGGCTTGGAATCGAATCCTTTTAAGGAAATGTATTAGAATATGTATGTGTGTTTGCGCAACAGGGGTTTGACAGACATTTGGCTCAGTCACATGCAAAATACAACATCAGGGGACCCATGAGCCTCAACAGAAGTGTTGATGAGATTAAATATGATTGATTTTTAAGTTCTGTACGGAAACTGGTTTTGATGCCCATTCTTAGGTACATGTTATTTTTCTATCAGCTTTTCTCTGTCTTCATTCCTGTGAGTGGTGAAGCAGCACGTTTTCACACCTTAGATTTATTTGTACAGGATATTCTTGACATATCAGACAATTACATTATTTGTCAGCCTCAACAAGCACTCTGACATTCACATGATAGAATGGTAATAAAGCTGACTGGTTTATAATTGTATTACTCTAATATGTAGATATATAAGAGTTATTGTAGGAGCTCTTTGCAGCCATTAGTTACAGGATGTTCTTTGTGTTATTTGTGAGCAGTTTTCCTCTGTGGCCTCTTTCTTTTGGAGTTGATAGCCCAACCTCATGGGACTTCAGTGGCTCAAACAGAAATCTATGACAATCATTTTTGCTTCAGATGCTGCTCTGATCTCCTCTTTAAGTTTATTTTCATGATTATACCTTAATATGTCATCAAAATATATTGAAATAAATGTGTACATCACATGAAATTTCAATCAATATTGTGGCTGGTAAATTGATATGATAAACTAATGGCTCTTTATCTTCCTCCTGTTTCTGAAATTTCAGATCTTACTCTTGAAGCCAAGACATGTTCACTACAGGCCAAAAGTTTGGAAGCAAGGCCATTACAGGCCGAACAGTTGGGAGTAACTTCAAGTTTTTGTTCACAATGTTTTTTTTTTTTAAACCCAGCATGAGTTTTATGTATTTTGGGATGTATTTACTCCATGATCAGATGTTGCTTTCATGGAAATGTACCATTTTACTCCATTTACCTTTAGATATACATTGATGTTAACAGACCATTGCTAAATATATGTCAGCAAAAGATAATAAGGGCTTAGTTTTAGGGTTGAAAACATTTGCAAGAGTCACAACTTCAGTGCAAAAGCAAAAAAAAAAACAAAACAAAAACAAATCACAGTTGGATTATTCACTTCAACTTTTTGGCTTTTGAGAGTCTGCACACAACAATCCTAATAAATCTCAACTGCATTCAAACTATCGCAAAAATGGCTAGAAAGAAGCAACTGAGTAAAGAAACAAAAGTACAGATTTGTACATTGAGGAAAGAAGGATACACAGAAAGAGAAATTGCAAAACGCCTAAAGGTGTTTAACAAAGGAGTCCACTACACTCTGAAGAGACTAGAGGAACCTGGAAGTTTTGATGATAGAAAAAGACCTGGACAAAAGAAAGTTACTACAAAAGCAGAGGATCAACATAGCATTGTCACCAGTAAGAGAGATCGGCAAAAGACAGCACCAAAAATAAGGGAGGAAATCAACATGACAAGGTCGAAACCCATATCTCTGACAACTGTGAAATGACGTTTGAGAAAGGCTGGTCTGAAGGGTTGTGTATCTGCAAAAAAACACTACTACGTCCACAGAACAAGAAAAAAAGATATGAGTGGGCAAAAGCTCACAAAAATTGGACTTATGATGACTAAAAACAAGTTTGCACTGTTCGGGTTAAAACGCAGAGTCTATGTCCGCAGACAAACTGGTGAACGTCTGAAAGCACCATGTGTTACACCCACAATTAAGCATGGAGGTGGTAGTTCCATGGTAGGGGGATGTTTTGCAGGTGATGCAGTAGGAGATTTGTTTGAAGTAAAGGGTATCATGAAGAAGGAACAGTACCACTCCATCCTCCAGCACCATGCTGTTCCATCTGGACTCAGACTTGTGGCTCATAAGTTTGTTTTGCAGCAAGACAATGACCCTAAGCACTCTGCCAAACTCTGTCAGGGTTACCTAGACAACAAAGAAGAGGAAGGTGTTCTTCAAAAGATGGTTTGGCCCCCTCAGTCTCCTGACCTTTCTCCAATTGAGCTTGTGCGGGATGAATTGGAAAGAAAAACGCGTCCCACGAATCAGCAGCCTCTTTTTAATGAACTTAAGAAAGCTTGAAATGCAATCCCTGGAACATACCTTAAAAAACTTGTGGAACGAATGCCTGGTATATGCCAAGCTGTTGTTAAAGCCAGAGGAGTTTACTTTAAAGAAAGCAAAGTCTAAGCAACAATAACTCAAATACCTAATAATTATAGTCAAAATGTCTTCTGATAAGTTGCTCTTTTAACAATAGTCATGTTCATATGTTGCAAATTATATATATGAAACTATGATCTTTTTTGAACAAATCTGATCTTGCTTCCAAACTTTTGGCCTGTAGTGTACCTGTCAGTTAGACCCTCTTCTAACTGTCCTTGTGAAACCCCATTTACCCTCTCTGGTCACCCTGATAACTAACATCATTCATTCATCACTGACCTCCGGTGCTGTTCCTTCATCTTTAGAATCAGCTGCAATAACACCAATACTTGAGAAACCTGGCTCAGACCCTGACAATCTTGATAACTTTTGTCCAATTTCTAAACCTTCTTTCCAAAATCCTTGACAAAACAGTTGCATCTAACCTCCACACACACACCTACCTGTAAATCACCTCTACGAACACCTTCAGTCCGGTTTTTGCCCACTGCATAGCACAGAAACAGCTTTGGTAAAATCACCAATGATCTTCACGTGGCAGCTGATTCTGGACTCTTAACCATCTTCATCCTCCCTGATCTCTGTGTGGCCTTTGGCACCATTTCTCATCATATCCTCCTAGATAGACTGGCTTTAGTTGGGATTACTAACACACCTCTGCACTAGTTTAAATCATACCTCTGGCTGCACTCAGTTCATACAACTTAAATCATTCCAAGCCTATTCCTTTCCTATCTCTTCTGGTGTTCACCAAGGTTCTGTTTCAGGCCCCCTTCTCTTCATTATCTACAAACTTCCTCTTCTGTAAATTCAATATTAATTTCCACTGCTATGCGGATGACATCCTGCTCTACCTTTTTGACAAACACAACTCTACCCTGCCTCCCTCCTTCCTCTGTGAATTCCTTAAGAAAATCAAAGCCTGGTTCTCTCACAATTTCCTAAAACTCAACAGTGATAAAACAGAACTTCTTCTTATTGGCAGTAAATCAACTTTAGCCAAATCGGACAGTTTTTTCCTTACAATTGATCACCTCACTGTTCTCCCTCCCCTCAGGTTAAGAGTCTGGGTGTCATCCTCGACAGCACACTATCTTTCCAACCTCACATTATTAACATTACCAGGTCAGCATACTTCCATCTGCGTTATATTAATCGCCTTCGTTCATCCCTCACTCCAAGCTCTGCTGCTATTTTAGTTCACTCACTGGTCACTTCCCGGATTGATTACTGCCTCCTCTCTGGTCTCCCATAGAAATCCCTCGACACAGTTAGTCCACAATTCTGTCGCCCGCATCATTTCCAGAACCCCATCCAGCAATCACAGCACCCTAATTCTTCAGCAGCTCTATCGGCTCTCGCTCACCTACCGCATCGATTTTAAGATTCTGCCTCTGACCTTCAAAGCCATTCATAACCCAGCCACTCTGTACCTTTCCCACCTCCTTCATATCAGCACCCCCCTCCTCGCACTCTCAGGTCCTCTTCCTGTCTCCACCTCACAGTCCCACCTGTTTGACCACCATGGGCTTCAGAGCCTTTTGTCGACTCTAGAACTCCTTCCCTCCAGACATCCGTAATATCAACTCTCTCTCCATTTTCAAATCTCGTCTGAAAACCATTACTACAGGGTTTCCTCTACCAATATCAATTGTGATGCACCGCCACGGCTAAATATAAGCCGCCACACCTTAAAAAATTACTATTTTTTCTTACGTGGTTCTACCTTGGACTGATATGTATCATTATATGCTGTGCACACAGGCGCTGCACTGTGGAACAGGCACACACCTAGTATTAGCAGTAGCGAGTTACCATCGGCGATCACACAGCTGATTAATTTCCTCCTCCCCCGCTGCTCCCCAAATCACACACTGTCACAGATAGGTTCCCGTCCTGGGGCAAACACTGTATTATCTCAAAATGTCCGAGCCAACCTGACCTGTGAGCCTGACCGCTTGTGTTAGCTTAAAAGGGACATTTGGGGCTCTGGACTTTGTCTCTTATGAGATTTTTGTTTCCGTCACTGACTATTGAATTGAACCAAGTTTTTACAGCATTAGGAGTGGATACAGTGCCTTGCGAAAGTATTCGGCCCCCTTGAACCTTTCAACCTTTCGCCACATTTCAGGCTTCAAACATAAAGATATAAACTTTTAATTTTTTGTCAAGAATCAACATCAAGTGGGACACAATCGTGAAGTGGAACGAAATTTATTGGATAATTTAAACTTTTTTAACAAATAAAAAACTGAAAAGTGGGGCGTGCAATATTATTCGGCCCCCTTGCGTTAATACTTTGAAGCGCCACCTTTTGCTGCAATTACAGCTGCAAGTTACTAGGGGTATGTCTCTATCAGTTTTGCACATCGAGAGACTGAAATTCTTGCCCATTCTTCCTTGCAAAACAGCTCGAGCTCAGTGAGGTTGGATGGAGAGCGTTTGTGAACAGCAGTCTTCAGCTCTTTCCACAGATTCTCGATTGGATTCAGGTCTGGACTTTGACTTGGCCATTCTAACACCTGGATACGTTTATTTGTGGACCATTCCATTGTAGATTTGGCTTTATGTTTTGGATCATTGTCCTGTTGGAAGATAAATCTCCGTCCCAGTCTCAGGTCTTTTGCAGACTCCAACAGGTTTTCTTCCAGAATGGTCGTGTATTTGGCTCCATCCATCTTCCCATCAATTTTAACCATCTTCCCTGTCCCTGCTGAACCATGATGCTGCCAACACCATGTTTGACAGTGGGGATGGTGTGTTCAGGGTGATGAGCTGTGTTGCTTTTACGCCAAACATATTGTTTTACATTGTGGCCAAAAAGTTCGATTTTGGTTTCATCTTACCAGAGCACCTTCTTCCACATGTTTGGTGTGTCTCCCAGGTGGCTCGTGGCAAACTTTAAACGAGACTTTTTATGGATATCTTTGAGAAATGGCTTTCTTCTTGCCACTCTTCCATAAAGGCCAGATTTGTGCAGTGTTCGACTGATTGTTGTCCTATGGACAGACTCTCCCACCTCAGCTGTAGATCTCTGCAGTTCATCCAGAGTGATCATGGGCCTCTTGGCTGCATCTCTGATCAGTCTTCTCCTTGTTTGAGATGAAAGTTTGGAGGGACGGCCGGGTCTTGGTAGATTTGCAGTGGTCTGATACTCCTTCCATTTCAATATGATTGCTTGCACAGTGCTCCTTGAGATGTTTAAAGCTTGGGAAATCTTTTTGTATCCAAATCCGGCTTTAAACTTCTCCACAACAGTATCTCGGACCTGCCTGGTGTGTTCCTTGGTCTTCATGATGCTCTCTGCGCTTTAAACAGAACCCTGAGACTATCACGGAGCAGGTGCATTTATACGGAGACTTGATTACACACAGGTGGATTCTATTTATCATCATCAGTCATTTAGGACAACATTGGATCATTCAGAGATCCTCACTGATCTTCTGGAGTGAGTTTGCTGCACTGAAAGTAAAGGGCCGAATAATATTGCACGCCCCACTTTTCAGTTTTTTATTTGTTAAAAAAGTTTAAATTATCCAATAAATTTTGTTCCACTTCACGATTGTGTCCCACTTGTTGTTGATTCTTGACAAAAAATTTAAATTTTATATCTTTATGTTTGAAGCCTGAAATGTGGCGAAAGGTTGAAAGGTTCAAGGGGGCGAATACTTTCGCAAGGCACTGTATTTGGGTCTATATGTAAGTTTCAGGATGAAGATTTAATAGAATAAGCCGAAGACTTTTAGAGAACTCAATTTAATCTTGTAAATAACAAAAACATCTCTGCTATCAAGGCAAATGCAAGTACTGGATCAGGACTCAGTATCAGTAGATCTAAAATAAATGGGTTGCTAACTCATTGATCAAGACTTCCCTAATTGCATTTAATGCAGTTCAAGATTAATGGGAAATCTTAGTTAAATTTGTCAATAAAACTACATAAATAAAAAAGTACCATTCCTACTTCTAGTGACTGGTGGTTAGGACCTTGTGGTTGCATTTTTTTTTTCTGAAGTTAAACTGACTTTGGTCTTGAACTGTTGTCCAAAGATGCAACCTTGGGCTTTAGGAAATCGTGATGGACATTTTTATGATTTTCCCTGACATTTCCGTACCTGGTATTTCTTCTAAAGAGCATCAAACAAAAATAGAACCGACCCTTTTCAGCTTCAATAACAGCAGTCTATAGCACACAGAGAAAGCTTCAGAGCCGTTGTGCCCTTGATTCATACAATGATCAGAACTGCTCAGGAGAGACTTGAAAAGAATAAGACCTGAAGAAGGAAGAGTTTATGTTTTTCTTTGATGCTCGGCAAGCACCCTCATCCCCAGGACATTACTGGCTGTTTTGATGAAGATGAGAACAAAACAAACTCGGTGCAGTCGTTATCTCAGTCACCAGACCTTCACCCATTTAGGCACATGTTGCTCTGTTTGCATGTTACTTGGTTCTGATCAACAGAGAAAGAAAATAATGGATTTCCTCCGTAATCTTGTTCCTTTCTTTCTGACTGACACACTCCTTCTTTGTCACCCACACACAGGAGAGTTTAACCGTTTTCACAGGCAGCAGCCAAATGACTCACTTGTCCAATCAAATCACCCCTGACTAAGAGACTGAATCCACACTTCCTCCTGCACTCTTATCAGACTCAAAAAGAGGGTTACCGACAACAAAAGACCAGGAAGTACACTAGCTCAGCCTCTTACATACAGGTGCTTTAGTGATCCAGCACTCAGTTAAGTCTGTCTTACTGAGCTTCATATTTGCATTCATACATCTGGATGTCTCTTTTTTCTCAAGCAGAACTCAAAGAAAGTGAGTGGATTGGTCCAGATTCCCATTTGAGACACCCAAATACTCATTAACAATCCAAAACTCTCATCTGACGTGTGTTTCTGCTCATAAAAACTTGTACTAAGTAGTTTATTATTGAGTCTGAATGTTACAAGGCTATCGAATTGTCTTTTTCAAGGAGTGCGTTTTTTGTTCGTGAAAATGTAGTGAATAAAAAAAGCAAACCAACAGAGTAAACATCTGGAGGCTCATTTTGAGACACTTGATTTGGCGAGGCTTCCAATTTAGAGGCCACTTACATCATAAAATGAGCTGCTTGCTCTGCTAAACATGGTGCTTCTGATGTTTTTTAAAAAAGAGAGAGAGCTCTTTGAAAATTCACCCTTTTATTCATCTTTAGTTTGCCCAGCTCGCTGAAACAGGAAGACACAATAAATCGCAAGAGATGGTTGGATGCACTTAACACTATTCCTCAAATATTATTCACTCAGCCTGCAGTTTTATAATCTTACTGCTATGAAAATTAACTGGAGTATTATGGATGTTAACAAAAACAAACCTCAGCATGCATTTGTTTTTGTTGCTTTTTCTGTCAGCTAGAATTATCAAATCAATCTGCAGGAAGGAGTCAGTGTAGCAAAAATAAAATGAAAATCTCTAAGAGGGCAAAGGAAAACAACATCCTGCAGTCCAGGTAATGGCAGCAGAGCATGAGCGTGAGGAGATCTACATCAGGATAAAAATAAAAGTCATAAAATTAAACAATGTTCTGCAGAGGTCCACTCCACTTTGTCTAACTTTACCTCCAATGTAAAAGATTAGTATATAAATCTTAGCAAATAAGGAGGCAACTATTTTTACTTGACCATGAGTTGAAATGATCAGAATTACATTTATTCATCCTGCAAGAAGGCTGTTAAAATTCTGTTGCCATGGTGATACTGGCAGTGGAATATTGGCTGATTTTTAGCTTTATGAATGAATCATTTTTCAATCAATCAAAACATCTTTAGATCAAGATGGATAATCGGGATGATGTTGGTCGATGGAAATGCAAATGCAAATTAGAAAAGCACTTGTAGAGCACAGACCTCCGCCAAGCAGCTCATGTACCCGCTTATATTGTGATTCACACCAAAACTTTTACTGTTATGTGTCTTTTATTAACTTTTATTTGTGTTTAAACTGGTATGTTCACTGTTCCTAAAACAACAAAGCTCATATTAGATACATAAATGCATGATTTATTATGCAATATTTGTAAGCGTACACTTCCTTGTATCTTCATTGGTTATCTTTCAGCATTGAAAATTCCAACAAAACCCTTATTTTTGGGTGTTCTGGATCACAGTATCCTGAATTTTGTCTGGATCAGGATCAACCTTTGACACCTCATAAAACTCATAGAGATCCTTTTGTGTCATTTTTTACTAATGCAAAAATTCCAAAATTTGCCTTACCTCACAATGATAAAGAATCCTTCAAAAAATTCCTGGATCCAGAAGGCGATCCGGATCACCACCAAAATGTAATGGGATCCTCCTGGGGCTGAGACGCACCTCTGGGGAAAATTTCAGGTCATTCTGTCTGTAATTTTATCCGTAAAGTTGCTAACAGACAAACAAACAAACAAACCAACGCTACCGAAAACATAACCTCCTTGGCGGAGGTAATTAGACTCCGTTAGACAGACCTTTCCAAAAAGATTTGGAATAGTTCACAAGTGGGAAGAAATGGTTGGGGTCCGGCATGAGTTTGATCAGGACCAGGTAGCCAAGAGGTTACAGAATCAAAATAGTGTTTCACAACAGTTCATCTTTGG